TAAACAAAATCTACCAATGCACTCATTAAGCTCTACCAGAACGCCACGTCACTTATCAGTCGCGTATGCCTCACGTACTCCCCTCCATCAATCACATCACGAGTCGTCACGGACAGCCTGCCTTTTGGTCTCTTAAAAAAATCACAAATCCCAACGCAGCACGAACTTCATCATTCAATTATTCTGACTTCCAGTCAAAATCATAAAGCCAAGAAACGGATCAGATTATGCCACGAATCACCTTCTCTGCGCCGAGCTGCACGAGAAACATAAAAAACGTGATATGGGTGTTTGGGTTAGACCCGGATTCGGAAACAGAAAAAATTATAAAACTTTTTATTTAAAAAATTACTTTACATTTTTACAAAATCTTCATATTTAATTTAAGAGCATATTTTAGAGGGTTTTTTTATGATTTTTTCACTGTTTTAAAATAAAAAAGCCTGATAATAATTTTTTTCTTGCATGCATGGATTTTTTAACAATATAAAAAATTCAAATTATTCTTTTTTATATTTATATTTTTAGATATTGTCATAAATTTAATCTTTATTACAAATATTGTTTAGTTAATAATATAACATTTTATGACAATTTTAATTTAATTTAATTTAAATAAATATTTATAATTAAATTATTAAAAATATAAAATATTAAGATAATTATAGTTTTATTTTCTTATGAAAAATAATTATAATTTTAATGTATTTCTTTATCTTTTTATTTAAAAAAATATTTTTCTATTAATTAAAGGAAAAAGAAATAGAGAACTTCAAATAGAAGTAATAAAAAAATAGTTTTACTTACGTAAACAGATCTCTATCTCCCCCCCCCCCCCCCCTCTCTAAGAATACATATATATATAATCGCGCAAAAGTTTGCCCCAAATCAGTAATCGAAGATTTCTAGGGTTTTCTTTCCTATCCGGTTGATATTTGGTCCTCAATTTTCTCCAATAAACACCGATCTATATTCTATCTCTATCTTTTGGTGTGGATTTTGTGATTCTGATCTCAGACTTCGAACAAGATTTCTGCTCAAAAAGGTATTTACTTTGCTTTGATCACGATCTATTTAATCACTTTCTGTTCAGTTAATGAATAACAATGAAAGGTTGAATCTTCTGATTTATGTTCCCTTTGGTTCCTGTTGTTGTTGTTGATTTTTTTTTTAAATTTCAATTTAGGGGTTCAGCGATCTCAGATTATAATTTTGTTTATAAAATTGTAAAAACAATTTCGATTTATTTTTATCAAATGAATTTTGATTCCATTCTGTTTACTTTCTGTGCTTCTGTAACCGAATCCGGAAGTGCAGTGCAGTAGAAGTTGATTTATTTTTATTTTTTCGAATTTTAATGTGATAGGTGATAGTTTTGATTTGATGAGGAAGAAGAGGAAAGGGAGTGAAGCAGATACGGGTGAGAATGCACAAGAGGAAGTAATACCAACGTGTGATTTGAAATCATCCAATGTTAGGTCTCATTATTCGTTAGAAGATTATAATAGGTTAAAGAAGAGGTGCAAAGAAGATCGGGGTAGGGAACCTGTTACTTCTTTCAAAAGTAGGCTTGCAGGCATTGCTACTGCCCCACCTTGTGGTGCCTCATCTTCGTTGGTGCTACCTGGAAGAGGGCTTAAGAGGAAGATAGGGTGCATAGATGTTGCTACTCAAACGGGTAGGAAAAATAAGTTTGAGGATGATTATATTTTGGGGGATGCTATTGGGCGTGGTAAATTTGGCTCCGTTTGGTTGTGCAGGTCTAAGGTTACTGGTGTTGAGTTTGCTTGTAAGACTTTGCAGAAGGGAGAGGAGACAGTTCATAGGGAGGTAGAGATAATGCAGCATCTGTCTGGTCATCCTGGTGTGGTGACATTGCATGCTGTGTATGAGGAGTCGGAGTGTTTTCAGCTTGTGATGGAGTTATGCTCTGGAGGACGTTTGATTGATCAGATGGTTGATGAGGGACGGTACTCAGAGCAACGCGCTGCTAATATATTCAAGGATGTGATGTTAGTTATTAAGTATTGTCATGACATGGGTGTTGTGCACCGAGATATAAAGCCTGAGAATATACTTCTAGTGAGCCTGGGGAAGATGAAGCTTGCAGATTTTGGCCTGGCTATGAGAATTTCAAATGGTAGGCCTTCTGCATCTGTTTTGAGAAGTGCTCATTCTGCTTTCCAGTGCTTTCTTTTATATTGCATTTGCTTTGTTGGTGCTGACGACTTAAGCATGTAAAAAATAAGCATATAGACTGAAAATGAAGAATGTTTGACATGCATATCCTCATGGACATCAGGGCATTTTATTGTTGAACGGTCATGCAGGAGGTAGGGATAACGTGGTGTCTCTTGTATGATTTGTTGGTTCAGAAAGCATGCTCTTGTCTTTAGCATGTGATGTCATGAGTTGTTCAGTATGGCCAACGCTGTTATATAAAATAGTGCTATACATATCTAAATTCATATCTGCCTGGTTGACTTTGGCAGCCATGCTGCTATGTAACACAGACTAATAGAAGAACAGATGCTCTCTGCAAGCTCTTTTTGTAATTATTACTTGTGTTCTCAAAGCTTATCTTATGCATATGAGTTGGCATTCTTACTATCCTGCAGGGCAGACCTTATCGGGTTTGGCTGGAAGTCCAGCATATGTTGCCCCTGAAGTTCTGTTAGGAAATTATTCCGAGAAGGTTGACATTTGGAGTGCTGGTGTCCTCCTGCATGCTCTTCTGGTTGGGGGCCTTCCATTTCAAGGCGACTCCTTAGAGGCTGTTTTTGAGGCAATCAAGAATGTCAAGCTTGATTTTCACACTGGAATATGGGACTCTATATCTAAACCTGCACGTGATCTAGTTGCAAGAATGCTGACAAGGGATGTCTCAGCCAGGATCACCGCAGATGAAGTACTGAGTAAGTTTCTGATTCCCAATGAACTAAGACCCTGGACATATGGTTGCATTTTTTTTTTCTGGTTCTCATGGCTGCTTGAATTGAGGCAGAAAGATTTTGTTGCAATTTTATCCATCTAGATGGGTTAGACTAGGGCCACTTAGTGATAATTTCTTTAATGAGTATGCAGTTTTCATTTTAAGAGACCTTCTCTCCGTGGTCCTTGTCTGATGAGAAGCAACTTGATGGAATGCTTTTTAGGGGATTGCTGGCATGTCCCTTGTCAAAGAAATCTCCATTCTTTACTTATCTCAGAGTATTTACTCTCTGGGTTACCACCTCTCTAACTGAAAGAAGAATGTTCAGCTTATGTTTCTTGCATGTGTTGAGCTGCCATCCTAAATTAGATGCATGATGTGTCCTGTCTTTTGAGTCAAACGTAAGAATTCTTTGCATCTTTCCTTTTAATCTCAATTTGTAATGGCTCCTCAAAGGTATAGTGTGAAAGTGAATTCCTGGCCTTGAGGTGATGGTTTTGATTAAAAGATGCTCCAAATTTCTTAATCTGTAATTCTGATCTCGTTCTTTTCTTCCTGCATCAGTTTCTGATAATGTAAATTTGTTCGAGATTTTAACGCACATACATGGACTTAGAATTACCATTTTCACTAGGTTTACTATCCACGTGAGCTTGTCTGTTTGCAAAGGGATAATTAAACCCATTTTCACCAAGTTGTTGCTAACTCTTAGAATTACCATTTTCACTGGGTTTACTATCCACGTGAGCTTGTCTGTTTGCAAAGGGATAATTAAACCCATTTTCACCAAGTTGTTGCTAACTCTCTCGAATTGTGCATGGTCCGTGATCTTGATTCATTTCTTGGACTCTGTGATGGTGGAACGTGGAGTAATTTGCGAGTTTATTGCCTTTTCTGTCCATCTAAACTGACTGTTAATTGCTGTCTCCTCAGGGCATCCATGGATTTTGTTTTACACAGAGCGTACCTTAAAGACATTGTCCATCAGATCAAAAACAAAGAATCAAGGTGCTGCAACTTCCTGCCAACCTGCAAATGCACTTGTGTCACCTGGAAACCAGGTAGGAGCTGGCTTTTCTGAGGAGGACTTGAGTCAGCATCCATCTGATAGTTTGAGCTGCAAGTCAGAAGAGCAGGATGAATGTGGTTTAGTTGACGCGCTTGCAGTAGCGATTTCCCATGTTAAGATATCAGAGCCGAAGAGGAGTAGATTGTGTGGACCCACTGGCCCAATAGAGCAGCAGTGTTCATCTAACATCACAGCTAACAATCTGTGTAGAGCATTTTGATTCTGGTGACACACTGACACCACTAACATTGCTCATCTCCACTGTTTTGTGAAGTGGGAGAGAAGAGGATTCAGAACAGCCACACACTTAAACTCCAATATTCAGTGGATACTGGGCAAAGATGGTAACGAGAGTAACATAACCATAGCTTGTAAATATGGCTTAATATCTTTTCATTAAATGCAACATCTCTCAAAAATAATAATTTGAACTGAATAACATTCAGTTATTGATACTATTATTTTGAGAGACTAATTTCAGGATGCGATTTCGATTAATATGAAAGGTTTATATGGATATAATGGATGTCATTACTCAGAAACTTACCAAATGCACTAGCTTCCCATATCAATTTATCTTGCAACTTGGCATGAAATTATTGGAAATTCAAAATTTCCAAGGTGCCCTCAATTGGGTCCAAGGTGGGGGTTATCAAGTAGAATTAAAGGGTGATAAATCCCTCGCTTTAAAAGACAACCAACCCTTAAAAAGGCTGTGGAGGAAGGATAAGAAAATAATAATAATAACATATTAGTATATTAAAATCGTAAAAAAAAAATAAAAAAACCAATTTGATATATTTTCAAGTAAATTAATTTTAAAAAAACGTAAGAAAAACAGAAGCTATTACACTGTGAAACACTCACTATTCTTTATTTTTATTTTTATCATTCCAATCAAATACTTTTTTTATATTTATTCATTGTATTATTAGACATTAACCGAAGCAGCCTAGAAGACAGGAGAGTAAAGTAGTGAAGTGTGGAAATTTCTTAAGAAAGGGCACCTGGCAAGGTAACCGTTGTGCAGCGCACAAGAGAACGCGACCTTTCAATCAGAGAAGATCCGACGGCCAGAATCTACTAGCCGTTGGTTTTAAAACTTGAGAGGAGGGCACAGACATAAATCCGATATTTGCGTCTCCATATCGCTTGTGCTTAGTCTATTTATATTTTTTTCTCTCCTCTACTTCTTTCTCCTCCTCCTCCTCTTAAACCCAACAAACAATTTCAGTACCAGAGCCAGAACTCGAACCAGAGAGAAGAAGAAGAGGAAGAGAGAGACAGAGAGAGAGATCGTACTCCGTTAACGGGGTTCTTTTGAATAGTATCTCTCTAAGATCAAGGCACGGGCGGGCGTTAAAGAAAGAAGGCTCTGAAGGGTTTTTTTTCTTTTATCGATATCGAAGAAGCTTAAAAGAATTCTTGAATTTTGAAGGTGAATGTTTTTATTTTATGATCTGGGTTTTACGTTTTGAAATCAATTCTGATCTGGTTTTCTTTCTCTTTTCTTTTAATTAAAACTTAATCGAATCAAAATTTGTACTGTAATGACTTTCTTTATAGATATTTAGCTCTTTTAATTTTTGGAGGGTTTCCTTTAGATATAGACAACAATGGCTGGATCCGATGAGAACAACCTGGGGGTGATCGGACCCGGAAATATTCAAGGTATTAAAAGAACCCCAAAAGGTTGTATTTACATTTTATTATCTATTTGGTTTAAAAATGATGTTTTTTTAAAGCTATTGGAACCCTAATAAAAATGAGATTTGTTTTTCAATCTTGAAGAGGGTTTACGTGGCCGACTAGGGAAGTTTCCAGTGGCGACCGGAACTAATCGCCGGGCGTTGAGCAACATTAATCGGAACATCATCGGAGGTCCACCGTATCCCTGTGCTGTCAACAAAAGAGGGTTATCAGAGTAAGTCTTCTTAAACCCTAATTACTGTCTTAATCTTAATCTTTTATATCTTGTTTGGTTCCCGAGAAAAGTAAGGAAAAGAGAAGAAAATAGGCACTTGGTGGTGTGGAGTTTTTTAATCAAATTTCTTCGGCGTCTTTGATTACCTACTTTTGATGTTTTTTTCTTTTGTTTGTCTTCTCTGTTTGTTTTTTTATTTTAGAAGAGAAGCTTTTTGTAATAAGAACCCACCAATTCCAGTGCATCGACCTTTGACTAGGTCAGTAACTAATTGACCTCTTTGTCTCTTTGTTTGACGTTGAAGGTGTTTGTTTTTAATGTCAAAGGTTTGATCTTTTAATTGAATCTTTTTCTGGTGTTATTCTTGATGTCTGTTCAGGAAGTACGCGGCCCAGCTTGCTAACAAGCAGCAGCAACAACTTGAACCAGAGGTACCTTTTTAAAGAGCTTGAATTTTCTCTTAATTATAGGGTGGGATGTCTAGGGTTGTGAGATTGGATTGAGAGTTGTTTGTGTCAAACAGGAAATCAAAAAACCAGTTCGCCCAGTCCCAATTTCTAGTGAGCCAGAAGATTGTAACATCATAGATGTGGAGGACTACAAGACTAGTGATGACTTTTCTGCTCCGACTTTTGTGCAACATACGGAGGCAATGCTGGAGGAGATCGACAGGATGGTATTTGCAATTAACTTATTTTTAATTTGTTTGTATTGCTATTGAGCTTTTGTCAGGGTTCCATTGATACCTTGGTTTCCTGCAGGATGAAGTTGAAATGGAAGATGTCGAAGAAGAGCCGGTGTTGGACATAGACGGCTGTGACAAGAGGGATCCACTTGCTGTAGTGGAATACATTGATGATTTATACAATTTCTACAAGAAAGCAGAGGTGACACAGAATATATCTCTTCCTATTCAATTTGTGAAACATAAACAAAGCCTTCATTGCTTTTTATTTTTGTTTTGTTTTGCTTGGTCTTTTGTTATAATTGGAGAATATTTTAATTTGTAAGATTTTATTAGGAATCACTAGCCTAAAAGATTGTCCTATGATTATTGGACAAATAGGACTGATATACATTTATTTTGAAATCTTAAATTAAACGAAGGTGGAGCTTTTCATTATGAAGTATGTTGGAAGGTCTAGATGTCCAATCGTTTGGTAATGATTGATGGAAAAGGGCTGCTGATGTTATGATTATTAGGCAAATAGGGCTGTGCACATTTATTTTGAAATCTTAAATTAAACCAAGGTGGAGCTTTTCATTATGAAGTATGTTGGAAGGTCTATACATGGAAAAGGGCCGCTGATGTGGTATGGTTTCGTTATGAAGTATCTTCCTTATCAGTTCCCTTACTACATGAACTTTTCCTGGAAAATTGATTGCAGAGATCTGGCTGTGTCCCACCAAACTACATGGCACAGCAATTTGACATTAATGACAGAATGAGAGGCATTCTCATTGATTGGTTGATTGAGGTATGCATGTTACATAATGCTTAAAAGGTCAAGAATTAGTTATCTGGTTTCATCAGAACTGCTCACAAATTTGACTGGATTAACAGGTGCACTACAAGTTTGAATTGATGGAGGAGACCTTATACCTTACTGTCAATCTAATTGATAGATTTCTAGCAGTTCATCCAGTCGTGAGAAAGAAACTCCAGCTCGTTGGAGTGACAGCCATGCTGCTTGCATGCAAATATGAAGAAGTATCAGTTCCAGTTGTGGAGGATCTCATTCTGATTTCTGACAAAGCATACAGCAGAAAGGAAGTGCTTGACATGGTATATTATTATTTTATCATTCTTTAATTGTTATCATATTAATTATGATCAGAATGTGGATGGATGTATGATATGATTTTGAATGCCTGCAGGAGAAGAACATGGTCAACGCTTTACAGTTTAATCTCTCTGTTCCCACTCCTTATGTTTTTATGAGGAGATTCCTAAAAGCTTCACAATGTGACAGGAAGGTGTGTGGTACCGATCTTCACACAAAGAATTTAACTGCGCTTAATCGGATTTTTAATGAAATGGTACTGATTATACTAAACCAGTTGTTATTTTGAAGCAGCTTGAATTGCTTGCGTTCTTCATAATCGAGCTTTGCCTCGTGGAATACAACATGCTCAAGTTTCCACCTTCATTGTTAGCTGCTGCTGCAATATACACCGCTCAATGCACCCTTAGTGGAACAAAGCAATGGAGCAAGATAAATGAGTGGTATACTGGCTACTCAGAACAGCAGCTTACGTGAGTGTTTTTTCGCCTGCTTAAAAAGAAATTGTTTGTTGTTCCTTACATGTCAAGCTTGACAGTCTTTTTTACTCACTGTTTTGCTTCCTTTTTCCCCATGGATTACAGGGAATGCTCAAGGCTTATGGTTAATTTTCATAGGATTGCTGGTACAGGGAAGCTAACAGGTGTACACCGGAAGTATAGTACCTCAAAACTTGGTTACGCAGCAAAGAACGAACCCGCGGACTTCTTACTGGATCCTCCATTCTAGCAGGACTGATAAAGCAAAAGATGAATTGACATGAAAAGACTTAACCTTATTCAAGTAAATTTCGGGGTTGGGGTTATAGTGCAACTTAAGTTGCCCCCCCACTTCTTGAACATAGAGAAACTTTGGTATTCTTTCTTTGATGCTAATTGAACACAGCAGGGAGGATGTTGTCACTTGTCTCCAAGAACAAAATAATGTTTTTAAGGCTTGGTTTTCTATGTATATTTGTTGTTGAATCATTCCCAATTTGAGATAATGATTGAACTTGGGTTGTTTTGGATAGATTGGTTTGGATTTTTGCTCGTTTGAGAATGCGGTTGTACCTGCGGTGTAATCTGTGTCCAAAAGCATCAAACGTTCCCTTGGAAATTTAGAATGCCCATTGTTATACACAATTTTTAACTAGAAGTTCAAGCTCCAGGTTTTGCTCAAGCCTTAAACAGGGATTACTTGCCTGTTAAAATCACATCAAAAGGCTAGATCACCTAATGAAGCTGACAATTCCATCTATGATCTCATCAATCAAGATCATAAAACTACAAATAGCGCAAATCAGAAGTACTAAAAGCCCTGTACTGCATTCATTTAATAAAACTGATTTTTTTTTTTTGTTTATATCATTTTTTTTCGATTTCTTTGTTAAATGGAGTTAGTTTTCAGTCATTTAGATTAATTAATTCATAATCTTAAACTATTTAATGTATAAACCATCATATCAAAATTGAGGGATTTTGAATAAATATCAATATTTACTTATTTTTAGCAACTCTAAAAAATTTAAAGATATTCTTTTTTATTTATTTTATATTTATGAATATTTTCTAGTTATAAAACTCAAATTAAAAAAAAAAGAAGTTATCCAATCAAACAAGGTAAAATTAATTAAAACTTGATCCTTAACTTATCAATAGTTCTCCTAATAGATAAATAGTTTCTTTAAGTAGTATTTAAAAAAATATATTTAAAAATATATCAAAATAAATTTTTTTTATTTTTTAAAATTTATTTTTAATATTAGTATATTAAAATGATTAGAAATTATAAAAAAATAATTAAAAATTAAAAATTAAAAATTAAACTTTCTTAAAAATATTTGTACTTGCTATAAATCTTCTTATTTTAAAGCAAAATTCTATCATTAGTAGTATTTGTCACCAGGGTAGCAGAGATTAATGCAAATCAACACTGGCTGACTGACTTTGTCAGAAAGGAGGTGGCAGTTCTTAGTAAAGCAGTCCTTGTCTAAACACGTGTACCGCTAAGTGCCACGTTTCGCTTTCCAAACAACCAAATTTATCTAAGCCACGACTCATCAACGTGGCATCCTGATCCTTAAAAAAAAAAAAGAATAAAAAACCAAAACAGAAGTCTCTCTCTCTCATAAAGTTTCCTCCTTTCCAAGTTGATGATCTAAAATATCTGTCATTTGAATGCGGTCCTCATTATTTTTCGTTTTCAAGTTGTCGACGAAGATGGTCCCTTGAATATTCTATCAGGTAAAAGAAAAAACTTACATTGAATCTGATATTTTGTTGTTACTTCTCGTCATCTTTTTCATGGGCCATGGCCTTTTTTGGGTATGTTTTGAAGATATTTTGATGTACTGTTATTGTCTTTGAAATGAGATTGTGGTGTAGGATTGATGATGGATTTAACAGTTTTTTTTTTGTCAAGTTGGATGGTTTTGTTTGTGGCTGATTCTAGGTTTCTCTCTAAGATAATTCATTAGGTTGCTGTTGTTATTTAATATCAACATTTTGTCATAGTTTGATCAATTGATTTTGATGGTTTTTATTTGTTTGAGCTATGGGAATTTTAGAGCCTAAAATCTAATACAATTGTTCATGCTTTCCTTTTCCTGATAGATAAGGTGGCGGCCCTTACTTGGAATCTCTAGGCTTCTATAAGTGATTGTTTTTTTTCCCCCGATAGTGAGGAAGAGATGATAGAAGAGAAAGAGAAGAAGTTTCTCACAGTAGCACCATTTCAGTGTGCTTGGAGGAAAGATTTGAAATTTAGGGAAGCTGGAAGAGGTTGTGTGGCTTTTGATGCTTTTGCTTGCAATGATGTCACAGTGGTGTTTAGGGAGAATGTAGGGAGTCAACACTACCATTATAAGAGGGATAACAGTCCTCATTATACTGTGATTCTTGGGAGTCATAGGAATCGTCGACTGAAAATTGAGGTCGATGGCAAAACAGTTGTTGATGAGGAAGGTGTTGCGCTTTGCTGCTCATCCATGTTTCAAAGTTATTGGATCAGTATTTATGACGGGTTGATTAGTGTCGGAAAAGGGAGATACCCTTTTCAGAATCTTGTGTTTCAGTGGTTAGATTCAAATCCAAATTGTAGCATTCGGTATGTTGGTCTTAGCAGCTGGGATAAACATGTCGGGTATAGAAATGTCAATGTGTTGCCGTTGCCAAAGAATCATATGTTGCTATGGAAGCAAGTTGACTCTGGAGAATATGAGGGGACTGATGATGGAGAAGAGGAGTTAGAAGGTGGACAGATGAGCTATGAGAGACGGGGACTTGAGAATTTTCTTGAGAGTTGGGAATTATCTGATGTATTTTTCGTTGTTGGCAAGGAGGAAAGACTTGTCCCAGCTCATAAGGTTATCTTACAAGCATCCGGTAATTTTCCTTTGAGCTCGTCAAATGAAGATGTTATTCAGCTGCAGGATGCAACATATCCAATTCTTCATGCACTTCTTCAATATATATACACCGGCCACACACAGGTATCTTAACTGTTCCACATTTCCAGATTTTATGCATCTTTAACGAGGATGATTCTGCCTTTTGTTTTCTTGTCATGTTTTTTCTTTTAAGATTGACTCTAGCTGCCAGAATCACTTCTAGTTACTTTTGGGCTGTTTAATCTCACTCCGTTCCCGCTTCCCTCTTTGATATAGATTTCAGAGTCGCAACTTGGTTCTCTATGGGCATTGAGCTTACAATTTGAAGTGATGCCACTGGGGAAGCTCTGTGAGGAAATTGTGGAGCGATTTAAATTGAATAAAAAGTTGTTTGACTCCAGTAAGAATGTGGAATTGTCATATCCAAGCTCCCAGCCCCATTGTTGTATGGCCTTCCCTTCTCAACTGCCTATAAATGTGCAAAGGCTTAAACAGTTGCAGTCGACTGGAGAATATAGTGGCATAAACATTTACATTGAGGGTCATGGTCTTGTTGCTCAACCTCACAAAGTCATTCTAAGTTTATGGAGTGTTCCATTTTCAAAGGTGAGCCATCTTCATCTAGCTTCTGGTGTCTCCATGTTCTCTGCATAGCATGTTTTGGAAATGTTTTATGAAAGTATGTTTTCACGGTACAAGGAACTGACAACTACATAATACCTGATTAAATGAATTCAACAGATGTTTACAAATGGAATGAGTGAGAGTAGCTCCTCAGAGGTTTTCTTAAGGGATGTGTCACCTGAAGCCTTCAAGGTTATGCTTGAATTCATGTATAGTGGAGAACTCAGTTTGGAAGATTCCACGGAATTTGGAACCTTGCTCCTGCAGACTCTTTTGTTAGCTGATCAATTTGGGGTCACTCTCCTTTACCAAGAATGCTGCAAAACACTTTTAGAGTGCCTATCGGAGGTAGTTAAGCCTTATTTTACAAATAATTTAATCAAGAATGTTTTAGTATTATCATATCTTTGTTTTGTTGTTATGATATGCTTCTTGTTGGCTAGAATTAAAAGAACAGAGAAGTGAGTTGCGGTTTCGGACTTCTGAAAACAAAAGAAGCGACCCCTTTATGACATTGAATTAAAAGATATTGATACCTTTCATGTCCATATTATATGCAGGGATGGAGTTCTCCTAGTGGAAGAAGGTCATACAACAAGAGTTTTTCTATTATGCACAAGTTATAATGGACGACGAAGCAGACAATTTGGGAACTTTGTTGGCTATTGCTGTTGAAGCTAACTGTTAAACTTTGTTGCAGGACTCAGTAGGTCCAATCCTTCAAGCGGTGTCATCGATTCCATCATGTAAACTCATTGAAGAAACATGCGAGAGGAAATTTGCTATGCACTTTGATTATTGTACCGCTACAAGCCTTGATTTCATCTTATTAGATGAGACAAATTTTAGCAATATCATTCAGGTGGGTTCTCATTCTTTGAGTTGATCACTTTGAATTGACAATTGACTCTAGGATTTATAGAGCTGAGTCAAAACAAGTGTACTCTGCCCACAGAATCCAGGACTAGTGGTCTGAAAATTTAAGAGGAGCAAGTGCTTTTCATTTGGAATATTGTTTCCTTTTTGAGATTGGAAGTAAGTCCATGGTATGCTAGTGGTTTAGTGCATGGGATAAAAGAGGGTTTGGACCCAACAGGCATCAATCAATAGATAGGAGAAGGAATTTTGAAGTGATGCTTTAGTTGTTTCAAGTTTAAAATGGACAAAGGATAACATGTGAAATACCTTATACATACAGTTGAGTTTCTTCCTTGAAAGCAATTCTTCGTGAATGCTGTCAAATGCCAAATAAAATCATAGGCATTCTCTATAACAAAGGATGGTTTTGCAGCATCAAGATCTAACTGTAACATCTGAGGAAAGAGTTCTCAATGCAATCTTCATGTGGTGTATGAGACATAAAGAATTGTGTGGATGGGAGGTCATCGCTGAGCTACTTGCACTTTCTACTCCTGACCTCCTTTTCGGGGACAGGCTTCAATCTCTTAATAACTTGTTGCCATTTGTGCGATTTCCATTGATGCCATATGACTTGCTTAAGAAGGTAAGTAAGCTTTGGTTATGGAAAGGACAATTAGACAATCTATTGAGAATGGTACCCTGAACTCCTGTTATCATGTTGCAGCTGGGGCAAAGCAACCTACGCAGGCATGTCCCTATTTTTGATGATCTTGTAAGTTATCATCTTTCTAGAGAGAGTGATTGTTGACAGACAATATGGGCATTCATTTTCATCACTAGATTTCTTGTTTGGTAATTTCACAGGTGAGGGAGGGCATCGGTTATGCAGAATTTGGATCCCTAAGGCCAGGGAATGACCAAAAGTAAGTGTATGATGCTATTTTAACTTTCATGTTCATGTGTCTTGATCTAGATTGTGAGAGTGGTCTAGCCTTTTAATCCTTTGGTAGTGGAGATGGATATCTGTCTAAATTATCTTTTTTTTTCTTAGCTGTTCAATAGTGGAGATGGATATCTGTCTAAATTATCTAATCCAAGTTATACATGGAGGGAGCTGATTATTATTCATAGGAAATCTTCACAAGAATATTGGTAGAAGTTTTTAGCCACTTTATCCTGTTGCAAGAGAAACAAAGGAGAATTCCCCAGTTGCCCCTATCTTGGTGTCTATTTGGCAAACGAGCCCCTGAAAAAAATTTCATAAAGGGTCACATTTCATCAATTCAACCCAAATTGGGATGAATCCTAAACAATGTAGTTTTCCTTTAGGATAAATTCATCACAGTTTGTATATAATTTCATCCAATTGGGTTGAATTGATGGAATGCGATGAAAATATGGTAAATTTGATGAAGTTTTTTCCACAAGGGCCTTGTTTGCCTATTTGACACAAACACAAGGGCTGAATTGGGGGTTTTTCAAAAACAAATGAACAGTTTCTAAAAATCTAATTCCCTTCCTATTGTGTCATCTTCATGAAGGATTCTTTTGTACATGCTAGGTGGAAGTATCTTTCATGTCACGTTACCATCTTATGCAATTTCAATGCTACTGTTTTAACTCTATGCTTCCATGCTGATGTGTTTTGGATAAGCCATGGCTTAAAGACATAATAGCTAAGGGAGTCTTATTTTTATAGCCCTAGGTTTCAACATAGGCAATCTAGCTATAAGGAGCTCCAGTACATATGTGATGGTGACAGCAATGGAGTACTCTACTTTGCTGGTACATCTTATGGAGAACATCAATGGATTAATCCCATTTTAGCAAAGGTGAACTTTGTGGTTTTCTTTTATTTTTTCTATCATGCAAGTATCTCTAGGTAGATCAGTGAACCACATTCGATACACTGCTTCTCATCCTCTTAATTGAATGTTCCAGAGAATCACGATCACTGCCAGCAGTCCCCCTTCAAGATATACCGACCCCAAGACTTTGGTGTCACGAACTTACCAGGTTAGTGTGAGTGATGTCTGCAAGTCTGTAACATATCTAATGTATAGTGTGTTTCATTGGTAATCGAGTTATCTTTCCTGCTTTAGGGAACGTCTTTTGCTGGGCCTTGCATGGAAAATGGACACATACGAGCATGGTGGACAGTTGACATTGGCCAAGATCATCAGGTTTTTGTCCTCCTATACTTTTCGCAACCTTAGTAAATTTCCCTTTTAATCTTCCCTATACTCAAATGGTTTCTTCGATTGTGTTTGTCTAAATGCAACAAAGAAAAGTATTAACAATCATAAAACTGTCATCCAATCCAACTTAGTTTTCTGACTCAAGTGCTTGGCCCCTACTCAATTCTCCCTGCTATGATTGATGCAGCTTATGTGCAACCACTACACTTTGAGACAAGATGGGTCAAGAGCCTTCATAAGATTTTGGAATTTGCAGGTAAAACATTTAGTCATCGTTCTTTTTCAAGATATTCACTCCAAGCCTGCAAAATGGTTATCCTATCTTCAATCCCGTTAACCAGATTTAATGCCAGTGATTGCCTATCGTAACTGTCCCTTTCTGCATCCCAGGGTTCACTGGATGGGAAGACATGGACGAACTTGAGAGTGCACGAGAATGACCAAACAATGTGTAAGGCTGATCAGTTTGCATCATGGCCCGTAACGGGGCCACATGCTTTACTTCCTTTTAGGTTCTTCAGGGTTCTTCTAACAGGTCCTACGACAGATGCCTCAAACCCCCACAACTTGTGCATCTGCTTCTTGGAACTCTATGGTTACTTCCACTAGCTTGAGAGATTTACGCTTAGGTGTGTTTACTTCTTATTTTGATGGGATTTATAGATGCCCTTTCTTGTCCCAACAATATGCAATCCATTACTGTAACCAAAATAAAATGTAGCCATTACAGCTCTTATGTACAGCTCCTGCGTAATGAAAATAAAAATTCAAGCGTCTGCTATCCAAATGAAAAGAAACTCCCTGCATAAATTGTACAGTTCCTGGAACTTCTGTATTCACCTTTATGCCCGTGCTCATGAGCGGTAAGGCCCAAAGTCCTTTGGTTTCCAATTTCCGTTGCTGTATGTACACTAACGCAACAACGATTCTGAGGACCTGCAGTCCTGCACGTTACTCGGTGTCCGTTCCAATGCTTGAAGCAGGTAGGATATTGAATTCGAAAGAAATGGATGGATGCTTTGTTTGATTGAATGAATATTACATATCGTTTCTGTCGAGACTGAGAGGCCAACCTTTAATTCATCGCTTAGCTTTCATCTGCGCTTCTTTTTATTTTATTTTTTCAATCCTTCCACGCTGAAATGGTTATACCAAATTGGATTTTGTCTTCTATACTTGTTACACTACGGCCATCCTTGCCCCTTCAATCAAGCCAATATATATATATATATATATATATATATATATTGTAGGTGGCTTTATCTGGATGATGTTCCTTCGTATCACTCATATAAACCATACAATACCAAAACTGAATACATTCATGCAAGTAGAGATATGTCACTCATAATCCGGATTCATTTATCATCATTTAAAGAAAGCAGTACAAAATTCAACCTTATACACCAAATTTCATTGAAGAACAGGGATCCTAATTGCTCGAGCCATTGCCATTTGAATTGCCGATTACCTCCTGACAGGTGGTACAACGCCCCTGCCTGGGGGTACTCCACGCCCAGCAGCTTGGGCCTGCACAGTAAAATAGAATCAGGAGTTAGTCTTTACAAGCTGCTTAGATACAGAGCTGTAAAATTGTTTTCGGCTGAAAATACCAGATGGATGATTAAATTTAAGACATTAATGAAATAAAAATGCTTACTTTAGACCGCATTGCAACAGATCTTCCCCTGCCAACCCCAAGTGATGCACTCTTGCCCTTCAAGCACATAAGAAATGGGTAATATGAGATCTTCACGAAAATGCAAATTCAAGAAAAATCTAAAGGATTACAAGTGGGAGCATACCTTGATTCTAGCATCCAAACGCTTGAACATTGGAGCATTCTTTAGCATATCAGGTATAACCATGAATCTGTTCAAATTTCACATTATCATCAAATAATTACAGTCAAGCTGTGAAAATCCAACATAACAACTCAATAACTATATATGAGTTTAATAAGGATAGTATTAGGTACCTGACTTTACTGCCACGAATGAAAACATGCTCAAGCTGTGAGACCTTCCCATCCTGTACAGTAGCAGACCAGAATCAGTAACCAGATTAAAAAAACCAAGATACAAATGAAAGAAAGATAAACTAATTATCCAAGCTGATAGCCATTGCATCAAACAATCTCTTAAGATTAGCATTAGTAAGTCAAAGACACAATGATTCAAATTGATTAGCTTGATTGAAGATCAAAACATAATAGATATAGACAATATGAACAACTAAGCGGCAAAGATTTAAAATAAGCTCTCTCTAAAATCTTTTTGGCATTCATCCACAGATGCATCCATACATCTCAAAACTGAATGTTTTCACTTAAAACTGCTATAACACGGACTAAAATTACAAGCACATATAATTTCTTTAAATTCTCCTGTCCCTACTTTATAAATTGAATATTTCTAATAAACCATCATTTTGGATTGGATATCTTTTCATTAGGCAAATCATTATTTCATCTCATATAACCATTTCATCAATCTAAAACAACTCAAAGAACGTATCTTCCAATTTTGAGCAGCATAAATAACATAAGAAAAACATAATCCTAGAAATCATTCATTAATTATAATGTGACTTTTCACAAACATAGAAACGCAATTCTTAACTCCTAATCCTTAACCAACTATACATCAAAAGGAAGTGTCTTTCTCTTGAACTATCCTACTGATTTGCTGAACAAAATGGACAGCTAAACTCAAGACCATCAGCAACTATACACGAATACAAAGAATCCTGGATCATTTTTTAAAATAAAAATTCTGTAAAGAAAAAGCTCCTTAATTTAGGGTTTTACGGCCACAACTTCCCTAGGGTTTTTCAAAACAATAACCTAAAACCCTTTCAACTCATAATTTCACTCCACAATCGCAAAATCTAGGGTTTCACAAACAAAAATAATCAAGAAAAGAGTGAAAAAGCAGTAGTGCCTTAGCAGTGTAAGTGATGCTCTCGAGCTGGCAGTTCCAGTTATCCTCACACTCTACCATGCCTCCTCTATAAAGCTCTCCACTCTTCAGCTCCACCGTCACTATGTGACCGGAAGCCTCGTGTAATAGCTTCACCGGAATTCCCAAGCTTCTACTCATCTCTCCTCTTCTTTCTCTCAGTCACTGCAAAACCCTAATAACCCCAAGGACAACGATCCAATCGTTTCCCTCCCTCCATGCCTGCGTTTTATAGTGTAGTGAGTGAGGGTAGATTTGTCATCTAATAAAAAATAGGGACTTCTTAGTAATAAGGCAGATGATCAGCCTTTTGACGTGGCGTAATATTCAGGCTACATGTAAGCGTTGCAGCGTTTAAAAAGGAAAATGGCCGCAATGTGTCTCCTCTACAGGTCATCGAGCTGTTGCGATTTTAATAACAAACGGCTGCATCAAAATCTCTGGCGGCTCCTGCCGTGGCATTGTAGCGATTTTAAAAAATTATTAAAAATATTTAAAAATGATTTTTTTAGAAATATTTTAAAATAATTTTTTAAAATTATATAATTTATTTTTAACAGTAACCATCAAAACTATTCAAAAATATAAAAAAAATATTTAAAAATACATTCCCAAACATACATAAATATATGTTTGGGATTAAGATATGATGATGTATGATTGGGTTTTTTTATAGGATTTATAAAAAAAATAAAACCAAAAACATGTATTTTTAATTTTATGGGTCCATTTGTTTTGCACTTGCTTCTATGTTTGTGGTTGAAAATATAATTAAGTGTTTGGTAATATATCAAAATGCGTTTTATACTATCAGATTCACTAAAAAATTGAGTTTAAAATGTAATTTTTGTGAAATAGTTTTTATATGTTTTTTTAATTGAGTTTTGTAAAATTCTGTTTGTTTTTGTGTTTCAAATTTTTTTTTTAATTTAATTTTTTTTATTTTTTTCTTTACTTCAAATTAATCTTTTTTATTTATTTTAAGATCATTTTGATATGCTAATATCAAAAATAATTTTTTAACAATAAAAAAATTGATGTATTTTAAGTAAAAAACACTTTTGAAAAACAACTATAACCAAACATTTTATACATGTTTTTTACTACACATAAACCTCAACCATAATTTTTACCAAACAAATATCTAAATCCAACCAACCACACTTTTTCTAAACTTATTTTTTGAAAACTATAACCATAAAAGTTACCTAAAAAACAAACGCACCTAAATGAGATGTAGTTTGTACTTTGAGGAATTGTACTTATAAAAAAACTCAACCTCACCTCATCATATTTCAATCTCAAATATATATAAAATAAATGTTGATATGCACCGCTTTTGTGCATAGTTGTTAAATTGGTTTATGTTATGATTTAAAGATTATTTGTAATTCTTGAAATTTAATTCAATTTCAAAGATTAAATTAATTTATGTATTTAATTTTAAAAAAAAAGAATTGATTTGACTTATAAATAGAATCCAAATGATAAAAAATAGGTAAAAGCAAATCAAATAAGAGACTCTTTTTTATATGAAATAAAGAACTGAAATGAAATACTACACTTAATTTGAGAGAATGACTTATTATTGAATTCAGGAAACTCTTATTATCGTATAGACTTATAACTTTCTAAAAAAAAAAGATTACAACTTATATTTATTTTAATAAAAACATGGTAATCAGTAGAGGAAAAAGTCAAAACAAAACAATTCACTCCTTAATCAATAATGATTATTATCAAACCTAATAAAAACACCTACAAACTCGCCATTCCCTCTCTTTAAATAATTACTAGTAAGTACTTTACGCTTTTGAAACACATTTATCTTTGGAGGCCTGGTCATCACATCAATAACTTGCTCTTAAGTTCCACAATAAACTAACTCTACAGTTCTCTTAATTGTAAGATCACGCAAGAAATAAAAACGAACATTGATATGTTTGCAATGTCTATATATCATATGATTCTTGAAGATTTTGATCATCAAACTATTGTCACAAAACATAGTAGTATTTTCATGTTATGAATGACTGAGTTTTTTTAAAATCCTTCTCATCCAAATGACTTGACTAGCACAGTAAACAACTACCACAAACTCGACCTTAGTTGTCAAAAGAGTAACTATTGATTATATTTTAAATGATCATGAAACAACTCTTGAGCTCATAAAATAGACATAACCTGAAGTGTTTTTTTTTTTTTGTCTTTTAGATCACCAACGTAATCATTATCAGTATAAACTACTAAATTTTCACTCTCCTTTATTATAGAAAATCTCATAATCATTTATTCCTCTCAGACATCTTAACACCCTCTTTACTAGTTGCAAATACAATTGAGTTCCGTGCTCTATATATCGACTAACGAGACTAACCACAAGCATTAGATTAGGTCTAATATTCGTTAAATACATCAAGCTACCTCCCATGTTTTTGAAGAAATTTGTATCCACCTTAACTCCATATATATCTTTGCAAAATTTAAACCTTAGAATTAGTGGATTGAGCACCGAGTTGCTTTATTCTATATCAAATCTCATTATCACTTTCATGACATACTTCTTTTAACAAATAAAAATCATATTATCTTTTTACAGTACCTTAATACTAAGAAAGTATCACATCCTTTTAAGATAAGACATATCACATTTATTCTTTATTAAATGCTTAAAATCTTTAATCATAAACTCATTATCCCTAGAAAAAAATAAGATTATTAACATAGATGTTGACACTCAAGATTTTACTTTTTTTACTTACCTTGACAAATAAGGTGTGTTTGCTATGGTATTTTTCAAACCCCTCATTTATAAAATAAGCTTTTATTTAGC